TCCTCCTCCTCCTCCTCCGTCTTCCTCCTTCCAATGTTCCCCCAATGGGTTTCACATCGGCCCGGGGACACATAGTCCAACCTCTTGGTCAGCCGTTGGCCCAGAGCTTGGCCGCACAAGGTGTTTCCCTGGAAGACATGGGGGCGGCGGTGGCTCGCCGTGGGCGCCGTCAATCTGAATTAACATTCTGCAGAAGCCCGCTCTCTGGAGGCCTCCTGAGTAGGGTCCGAACAAATGGGGCGGAGGCGCGCGCCGCGTCGGCGACGTCGGCGATGCATCCGTAACATCGGTGTGGAGAACATCGGGCTCCACGTCGAGCCGCATCGCCGATGCGTCGGCGATGCGGCGCGATCCTCCGACCCCGTTACCTGGACGCCCGACACGGGTACAGAGAACATGGGTACGATGCCCAACAACAAATGTTGGCCAAAACTGACAGCGACCGCTGCTGGGCAGGCCGCCGTCTATCTCAAGTGGGCAGCGCCCGCGGCGGCACCGACGGCGACCCCTGCCCAAGTTTAACTGCTGTCAGTCTTCGTCCCCATTCCTCGTGCCCAGCTCGATCGCCCCGACTTCCTACTTCGGCCCCTATTGGAAGGCCTGGACTGGGGAAACCAAAAGGTACCGATACCGCTACTCCCCGGACCTCTCCCAGGGCGCGTCCTGACCAGAATTTCGAGGCGAATCCAGCGGTGGCGACGAGGGCCTCCCAGGAAGCCCAAAAAGAGGAAAGCGATGGAAAGGTACAGTAGGAGCTCGACCACTAGAAACCTTCCACAAGAAACCCAACCCTGAGACCCCAGGGCGTCCATTGATTGTTGGTGTGGGAACGTCACGTCACGCTCACCATCGCAAAACCATCGAAATCCAAGAAACCCAGGGCACCCTGGAGGCAGGCAGGGTGCTTCTTGGCATGGGCTTCCACTGCAGCGGTATCGGTAATTACCCCGTCCTCCTCTGGTCTTCGAGCAGATCCTCGTCGAGCAGCGCCCCCGCCGCCGCAGCGGCGGCGCCGCGCAGGGCCCTCGCCGCCGGCCGCCACGCGGTGCCGCTCGCCGCCCTCGCGGAGCGCGCCGCCCCTCCGCCGAGGCTGCGGCTTCTCCGGCCGGGCGGCCCCTCCGCAGAGGCCGCGCCGATCGAGGGCGGCGGGCGCCCCGCCCGCCCGCCTGCGGCGCTCGGGGGCGACGGCGGGGGCGAGCGACCCAGTGGGGGGCCCCTCCCCTCCCCCTCCCCCTCCCCTCCCCTTCCCCCCCTCCTTCCCCCCCTCCTCCTCCTCCTCCTCCTCCTCCTCCTCCTCCTCCTCTCCTCCTCCTCCTCCTCCTCCTCCTCCTCCTACAGGCGGGTGTTGCTGGAAGTGCCCCTGGCACAAGGTGCCCACAGTAGGTCCAAGGAGGCCTCCACGGCCTCCAGCGCACCCCTCACGGGGCCCAGGTGGTCCCAGAGGCTCCAGAACGGCGCGAAAAGCTGGGGGCACCTTGGGGCAGGGTGCCCTTAGCAACCCCCGATGCAGGTATGCAGGGGCGCCGATGGTCCATGTCTTCGGCGGCGCTCCCCCCCCCGCGGACGCAGCCGAACACATGCTCAAGGACCACGCCATGTGAGAAGGCTGGGCCAGCGTCCCAGAGGTTTCTTCAAACAGACATGTGCCAGTTTTTTCACGCTCGCGATGTGGGACCAAGGCGCTCAAGAAGCTGGGCCAGCTTCCTGGCAAGTCGGGCAAGAAGCCCGGGCCCAGCTTTTCGGGAGGAGGCTTCTGAGTCTGATGCTCGACTGTATGTGTACGGCCCGCCCCTGGGCTGTTCGCCCCTATATCGTCGCCTCCGATCGGCTACACGCACGAGTGACCCTGGGTAAGAGTGACCTTTGGTGCGCGGCATTGGGGGGGGGGGCGCGAGAGGGCCAAACCCAAGCGCGCAGGCCGCTGCTATCGCATCACATTCGGCGATCGGGGGGGCTGATGGGCCCGCACCAAAGGGCGAACGGTCACGTGTAGTCGATATTCGCCCCTATGTAGTCGCCTCCGAGCCGCCGAGGACGCGGCGCGCTGGCGCGCGCGGCTCGGCGCCCGCCGCCGCGAGTCTGCGGCGGCGGCCTGCGGCGGCGTGGGAGCGCCGCGGCGGCGGCCCGCCGCAGCACTGCGCCCGGCGCGGGAGCGCCGCGGACCGCCGGCGGCCGCGCGGGAGCGCCGCCCGCGCGGCTCACAGCCGCCGCAGGCCCCGCCGCGCCTCCCGCGGGCGGCCCGCGCGGGGCGCGGAGGCGCAGCGGCTGCGGCCCGCCGAGGACTGGCGGCCGAGCGCCGCGGGCTGGCGCGAGGAGGGCGGCGCCGCCGCGGGGCACTGGCCCTCGCTGGGCGCCCGCTGCTCGCCGCGCGCCCGCGCCTCCGGCGCGGGCCCGCTCGCGGCCGCGGGCTGCTGCAGGCGCACCCCTGGCGTGGGGGTGCCGGTGCCGCCGCCCGCCGGCTGCGGCGGGCTCTGCGTCGTCGGCGTCGCGTCGAGGGCGG